TGGAAAAGAAGGCAGCCTTATGGTGTGGATTGTGGATCTTCAATGCTAATAGATACATGATAAACTTAAAAAGTGAATTAATTCATTTAAATTAGATATATTAATATATGTATTTATATTATTTATTTCATATTTTTATATAAAAATATAAAAATTATCATATTATATTTCATTAAACATAATATATTTTTTATTTTTATTATATACATATAAAATATAATTTTAATTTTTATCATATTATTATGTTTTGTTTAAAAATTTTGAGATCTAAATATTAAAAAAAAAATCAAAATCTATTTTATTACGCAAAAGCAGAATTATCAAATTGCTGACCTTTTAGGCCAACGACTTGACAATCTCCACAATGGGTAATGGCATTGCTAGTGGATCTGCTTATTTCCTTGAAGAAGGAGAGATCCTACTAAAAGTGAGAATTGCTTTCGTGAAAAAACTTTTTTAGGCTTCATGAATGAAGTGAATCACTTTCACTCTTTCCAATTCCCTCCAAAAAATAAAAAAACTCACTTTCTTTCCCTACCACCTAAACATTACTCTAATCAAAATCAACAATGTAATTGCTGGAAGAAAACTGCATCCATATGCCCAAATATCCTCCACGCTCTCCAACGTACACATTACAAACAGCCGTGGCCCACCATAACCCAGAATATCCCTCTATTCATAAATAAATCTCATAATAAAAATATGGAATACGGTAATATAACATAAAAATAATATAAAAATAATATATTTTATAATTTTAATAAAATTATATACTAATTTTAAATAAAATTAAAAATATATATTATATTTTATATTAATATAATATAATATATAAATTATTAATAATTTATATATTATAAATAAAAAAATTTATATTTGATATATATATTAAATATATAAATTTTATATAATTATCAATTGAATCCAAATAATAATAATTAATTAATAAAAATAAAATATATTAATAATACTTTATTAATACCTCATTAATATAATTATTTTAATTTATATATATTTATTTTAAAAATTAATATTATTTATTAATAAATTATTATTATTATTTTATTTATAAATAATGTAAGACAATATATATATATAAATTTTTTAAAACAAAATTACGGATCTACAATGATATACGACTTTGAAAGGGGCCACCTACATCTCCACCAAATGCCATTTCTCTCTCTCCCTTAAACATATGTTTCTGTCTTCATACTCCCAAAATGAACCCATCTCATTCCCACCGACTAGTGCTTTTTCTCTTTCACCTCTCTTTCTCTCCCTTTCCTAATCACACCATTTCTGTCTTCTTCTTTACTTCTACTCTTTCTCTTCCCTTCTTCACTTTAATTAAAATCAAATCCAAGGCAATTGAAGCTCTTGAAACTATACCTTCTTACCATGAGTAAGCTGTTGTGGAAGTGCTTGAAGCCTATGATCTCATGCCCAAAGATGGTCAGGGTTCTGCCGAGTCCCCGTTTGTGGAAGTAGAATTTGATGAGCAACGTAAAAGGACTCAAACCAAGCACAAAGATCTTAACCCTTCTTGGAATGAAAAGCTTGTTTTCAATGTAAACAACCTCGGGGATGTAGCAAACAAGACCATTCATGTGACTGTGTACAATGATAGAGAAGGCAACTATGGTCACCATAATAATTTTCTTGGTCGAGTCAGGATTTCAGGCGTTTCTGTCCCGTTTTCTGAGTCTGATTCCAGTGTCCAACACTATCCCCTTGATAAACGTGGCCTTTTTTCTCATATCAAAGGTGATATGCATTGAAAATTTATGCCGTGCATGATGGAGCTTCTCACAACGCAGAGCCGGTACATGCTACTTCCTACTAGTATTCATGGAACTGAAGAAACTCCCCTTTTCAAGAACCCCCAATTCCCAGAAACTCCATTTCAGGAAATCAACACTAACAATTTCGATGATGAGATCAAGGTAGAAGAAAAGAAGAACAAGAAAAAGAAAAGAACAAGAAGTGAGGACTTTTCACTCTATAGGGACTGGAACTGGGGGTCCTCCGCCAGCTGCTCCGCCTCCAACGTCTACTGGGACGGGATTCACAGCAATGATGGAAAAGGCACCAGTGGTGGAGACCAGAGCAGATTTCGCTAAAGCAGCACCGCCGGGCGTAATGCATATGCAGATGCCGAGGCAAGAGTTCCTGTTGGTCGAAACTAGTCCACCTGTGGCAGCTCGTTTGCGATACAGAGGAGGTGACAAGACTTCAAGCACTTATGATTTGGTGGAGCAGATGCATTACTTGTTCGTAAATGTGGTTAAGGCAAAGGATCTTCCTGTAATGGATATTTCAGGAAGCCTTGATCCTTATGTTGAAGTGAAGCTTGGGAACTACAAAGGCCAGACCAAACACTTGGAGAAGAATCAAAACCCGTTATGGCACCAAATCTTTGCTTTCTCAAGGGAAAGGCTGCAATCAAATTTGCTTGAAGTAATTGTGAAAGATAAGGATTTTGGCAAGGATGATTTTGTTGGCAAAGTTGTTTTTGATGTTTTAGAAATACCTCTTCGAGTTCCACCAGATAGTCCATTGGCTCCTCAATGGTACAGATTGGCAGACAAGAAAGGGGACAAGGTTAAAGGTGAAATTATGCTGGGAGTTTGGATGGGAACACAAGCTGATGAATCATTTCCAGAGGCATGGCATTCTGATGCACACAACATTAGCCCCTCTAACCTCGCTAATACACGATCAAAGGTTTATTTCTCTCCCAAGCTGTATTACCTTAGAATTCATGTCATGGAAGCTCAAGACCTAGTCCCACATGAAAAAGGCCGACTACCGTCTCCATATGTGAAGGTAATAGTTGGTAATCAGATTAGACCTACAAAGCTACTAGAGCGAACCATAAATCCAGTTTGGGATGATCAGCTTATGTTTGTTGTGTCTGAGCCTTTTGAGGATTACATAATTATTTCTGTTGAGGATAGGGTTGGAGCTGGAAAAGATGAAGTTTTAGGGAGGGCGATGATTCCAGTTAGAGATGTGCCTCAAAGATTAGAAACTACTAAGCCTCCAGATCCCCGCTGGTTTAGTCTGCTCAAGCCATCAGTGGCAGAAGGGGAGGGTGAAAAGAGGAAAGAAAAATTCTCAAGCAAGATCCTCCTACGTGTTTTTCTAGAGGCAGGGTACCATGTTCTTGATGAATCCACACATTTTAGCAGTGATCTCCAGCCATCATCAACGCACCTTAGGAAGCAACGCATTGGAATTCTTGAACTTGGGATTTTGAGTGCAAAGAATTTGCTTCCTATGAAGATCAAAGATGGTAAGATGACAGATGCATATTGTGTGGCTAAGTATGGGAACAAATGGATTAGGACTAGAACTCTTCTTGATACTCTGTCTCCTAGATGGAACGAGCAGTATACTTGGGAAGTTTATGACCCTTGTACTGTAATTACCATTGGTGTGTTTGACAATTCCCATATCAATGGAAGCAAAGATGATGCAAGGGATCAAAAGATTGGGAAGGTGAGAATTCGGCTATCAACACTTGAAACTGATCGTGTTTATACTCATTACTATCCATTGTTGGTTCTTACACCTTCTGGTTTAAGGAAGCATGGTGAACTTCAATTGGCGTTGAGGTTCACATGCACAGCTTGGGTTAACATGGTGACTCAATATGGTAGGCCATTGCTTCCCAAGATGCACTATGTCTTTCCTATACCACCTAGGCACATGGACTGGCTGCGCCACCAAGCAATGCTGATTGTGGCAGCAAGACTGCAAAGAGCAGAGCCACCACTGCGGCGGGAGGTGGTTGAGTACATGTTGGATGTGGATTACCATATGTGGAGTCTCAGAAGAAGCAAAGCGAATTTCCACCGCATAATGTCACTTCTTTCGGGGGTTACTGCTGTTTGCAAGTGGTTTAATGATATATGCTATTGGAGAAACCCAATCACAACATGTCTGGTCCATGTTTTGTTCTTGATACTTGTTTGCTACCCAGAACTAATATTGCCTACAATTTTCCTCTACCTATTTGTGATTGGGATATGGAACTACCGGTTCAGACCAAGACATCCCCCTCACATGGATGCCCGGCTTTCACAAGCAGACAATGCACATCCAGACGAGCTGGATGAGGAGTTTGACTCATTTCCAACAAGCAGACCATCAGATATTGTAAGAATGAGATACGACAGGCTCAGAAACATCGCAGGCAGGGTGCAGACGGTAGTTGGAGATTTGGCAAGCCAAGGGGAAAGGGCTCAGGCAATACTAAGCTGGCGTGATCCAAGAGCAACTGCAATCTTCATCATCTTTTCCTTGATCTGGGCTGTGTTCATTTATGTTACCCCATTCCAAGTGGTGGCCGTTCTATTTGGGCTCTACTGGCTCCGCCATCCTCGCTTCAGGAGCAAGATGCCTTCGGTGCCTGTCAACTTCTTCAAAAGATTACCATCCAAGTCAGACATGCTACTATGAGGAAGGAAGCTTCTATCATTAGTTTATCATTCGTTTAATCAGTTTGTGAATAAGACGATTCAGTAAACAACTTCACAGGATCATAGCATAAGATAGGGAGAGAAAAGCAGCTACGCGCTTTCTCGCTTGCTCCACTACCTCATATTAGAATCTCACTTTTCCTGCTTTGGCTGGATATGCACTTCTCAGCTTTCTTCAGATTCATCTATGGAACCCACCATTATTTTTAGCTACTACTCAAGATTTTGATGAGCTATAATCTGTGTACTTAATGAATGTAAGCAAATGTCCCCCCTATCACTGGTTAAATACTCGTAATTCGTATATTCATATTATTTTTATATAAAAATTACATATCAAAATTTATAATTTTTGTTAAAATTTTAACACGTCACTTTTATTTTTTTATATTATTTTTTAATCGTGTCACTTTTTATGTTTTAATTTGCAAGATATAGCTGAAAAGTAGTAAAAACGGTAGAGGAATTGTAGGCCTCTGTCTGCAAGTTTTGCAAGTTCGGTTATAATAAACCATAAATGTTATACGAGAGTTCTCTAATTGAAGAACATTGTACGCAGCAAAATCTTTCAAATCTCATTGGCACTTGTGTCAAAAAGTTGCATTGGTACAAAAAAAAAATTCTGTTTAGGCAATTCTGACATGGGAATCCTCCAAATCCAAAAACAGAATATAATGGTTTCTAGGACAAAATTCATTTTGACAACAAAGTCCTAAATTCTAGATGCATTATTACAGCTACAATCACCAAAAAGCTGACAAGGATTCCAACGAGCAGAGCCATATCAACAATACCCCAGCCGCCCAGGGCCCAGTCCTGCTTATTCTTTAGCCCCAAGGTAATGCTGTTCTCAACCTGTTTGTTCTCATGGTTCCTTCGCTGCCTCAGTAACCAGCTAATCAGATTTTTTCTGTTTCGATCTTCCATCCAACTATCATTCCTGGAAACCGTGCACTCTTCCAATCTATCCTGTCCTCTACAGCTGTCTGGTCCACAGGAGCAAGGTCCTGGCTTCTTTGAACATGCACAACTCTCATACTGATTGGAGCAAGGAGAACGTATCTCCTGAATAGACACTTTCTCTGGAGACATTTTCACATTTGCTTGGGTGAGAGTCTCAATCACTTCTCCAAACACCGACCATCTTCCCACGGATGTTATCTTCACAATAGCTGAAGTACCCAACATACTTTCTGGAGCAATTACAAGAACCTGCACATATCCCTTCGTATGGCCAACCTTGGATAATGAAGTGAATACGAGCTAGATATTAGCACACTAGACAAAGCCTTTAGATAAAGTGAAAAGTTGTAATTGGAATATTCAGTAAAAAGTTGAAGTATGAATCGGATTTTCACAACTGGCTTCATGTGCAAACAAGCTAGATATTAGCATGCACTGAAAAATGCATTTAGATAAACTCTTAGCACATAAAATGCCAAGTAATAGTTTAAAATATCCAGTAAATCAGTAGACCATGAACTGGTTTTGAACAGAGAAATTATACAACTAGCTTCAGCAATTGTTTAAGAGAGTGAAACAGAGACGACTAACAATACTTGCCAAAATGTTTTAACATGACTTTCAAAATAAAAAGGAAAAAGAAATTTTCACACCTTGCATTCCATCAAATCCAACAAAAAAGGGAGAGCAAAATGGATCCAGAGTAAATCAACTAACACTGAACTGGCTTCCAAGGAGCAGTTTATTTCTAACCAAAAATTGAAGCAATCAAGTTCACCAGAGAGCAAGACACCGGGACTACAAATGCATTAATATGCCATCCCAATGCAACTTAACAAATGAGTTGTGACCCACAACCATCGGACAATAAATCTAGTTTACACTGAAATCTAGTTGCTTAAACTAGTGCCACAACATAGGATGAAAAGGAAGCATACAGAAGTGCAAAAGTTAATTTTATCAATTGCAAATATTCGTACCAAGTGAATTCCATCAGTTGCAATTTCAGTAATCCATATTCTTTCAACTCTTCCTTCCATTCCATTGTATGGTGCAAAAGCTTCAAAAATAGAAGTTAATTCACGGCTCCGATTCTTCACTATAGTACTTGGGACCTTTTTCATCCTTGCAGCAGGTGTCCCTAGTTTTAGAAAGATCACACGCATGAACTTAACTGACTACAGCTAGGAGCACATAAACAACTAGTATTTACATTGGCAAAGCAAGCTGCCAATAGTTTGTTTAACAAAGAGGTTTAGAATCATAAAGTTAAGCTATGTCTTGATATCACAATTTTTTGGAGTGATACATTGAGATTTAAATTTACATCCACAAATCTAGAATCTGTGTACCATTTCTAAAATGGATTTATCAGAATCAAATGCAGCTAAATACTGGAACAAACACCTTATTTATATAAACTTGCTACTTCTTGGTGTAACAAAACTTGGAAAGCTAGATGCAAAATATTCTAAATGTATTAGCACAAATCCATGATCTTTAAAAAATTTAAAATGAAACATGATCTACAAAGAATTTTGAAGAGACATTAAGAAATCCCAACTAAGAAAACCAAGATTAGAAACGAGCAAATACTCCATGAAATTTTAAACAGATTCCATCACACTGACAGAGAGAATTTCAACATTACATCATTTGTAGTTTTGTTTTGCATAAGAACTACTAAAAAATTGCCAAGGTGACTTCACTCCAACAAAAAAAGGACAAGCTAACGCCATGGGAGCCCTAAGTTCAAATACAAAAAAAAAAAAAAATACTATGCATTTAGTTGTTGAGACTAGAAAAGCAAGTTTTCCATGACAACAGTAAAAAAAGATGCAAATTTGGTAAATCTGAATAAAGAAAAATCACAAGACATGCTCATAAGTTAGATGTTCAAGAAAATGGAATTAGAAAATCTTACTAATCTCCTTATTTAGCATTTTGGGAAAAATATCTAAGAAACTAGTTTTCCTTAATCAAACAAAGCCAAAAGTTTTTCTTCAAAGGGATGCACCTGATTGAGTCCTTCCACACCATAATTCCTGTTAGCGCCTAGAAATTTGAGCTTAAACTTCATCAAGTTTGCGTCCAAGAGTCAAACATTTGAATATCTACCCACAACAGTCTCATTTAATAAGTTCTATCGGGCTTCTCTATCTGGACTAGTCATTGCCAATAGGATACTAATTATACAGTCAGCTCATTGCTCTAAGCTTAAGGAGGAATATTAAAGATGATTTCTGAACCATCTTCCGCCAACAAAAATTATAAACCCTCAAAAGCTTATTACAAGAATCCTTCAACTGCAATGACTCTTCACTTTACTAGATCACAGGCACATTCGACACTTCCTGGATGCATTAAGTTTATACATATACGACATTGAAATCATCAAATTTGGTGCAAAAATTTGCTAAATGCATGACATCCGTGTTTGATACAAACTCCTGTCATCTGGATCCTGAGTCCACGATAGATAGATTATGAGCCTTAGCTCGTTGTTTTGAAATCTTCCTCACTGATACTGTAGAGAAGTTATTGTCTTAGAATTATGAGTGCTTCCTTTCCTTGCTTCTCTATCATTAGATCATTTTCTAAGGGGTTTTAAGTGTTTTGTGATCAAGTTTCTTTTTCGGTGAGGGGGAGAGTTATTGGGTTTTGGGGGGAGGGATTGATGGTGCTAAATCCTGTTGATATAAAGTGCATATTTTTTCCTGTTTTTTACTTAGCAAAACTTGAGTTCAGACCAAATCTCATGGACATAACCGTGGTCAATATCAATCAGATTTATTTTATACTTTGAGTTCGATAAGGGCTAAATTGTTTGTCCTGCTCTAAAACTATAGAAATCATCTTTCACTTACAATTATTTACACATCCAATAGGTCAACTATCTATGTTGTTGAGGCTAATTTGGTAGTTGGAGCTTCATTTATCCTTAAGTCAGTTTGTATTACAGAATTTTTATTACTAACATCTGGATGATTTATCATCTATATCTCACAGAAGACAAATTCTGCAATTAGTTCCAAAATTAATTACTTGTTTATAACAATGCTAAATCTAAATGTCCTGCCCCTTCAACATCAGGTGCTTACATTGGCTTTGCTCAGGGTGGTTTCTAGAACAATTTTTTTACAAAATTAACCAAGGTAGTTCCCTCTGTTGTATTTTTGTTACTAAAGAACCCTGCCTCCTTGACTTAAGGTTTTCCTGTTGCAATGTCCACAGAACTTAAAGCAAAACAAAAATTGATGATGGTAGTGGAAAAGAAATTAAGATATTAAGATAACTGACATGGAGATTGGAAAATGTATTGAAAGCTAAATAAGCCCTAACAATCTGCATTTTCACCTTTTATCCTTGCAGCCGTCCAAGGAATAAAAGCCTTTGGAATAAAAATTTTCCACTTTTAAATTACTCATCAAGGATTTGTCAATCTCTTAAGTTTTCCAGTAAACAGAAGAAGCTGCCTAGGACACCGAAATATAGCTGAATGATTGCCACAAAAACAGAAGTGCTTAAATGGATGCTTAAGCAATGATGTATGAATATCAAGAAATTAACGAGCTCCAATAGAAATATAACAGCATATGCCTTGCAAGTGGCCTTAGAAGAAAATAATTCGTAAACAAAAGAAAGATTAAGTTTTTATTGAGATAAAGTTGACAATAGAAAAAACATGTAAAAAATTGTAACAAAGAAGCTGCAGCAATAAAAAACAAACATACCAGGTCTAGGATAGAACTGAGATATATGAACTTGTGGGAACTTGTATTCCTTAACAAGGTTAACTGTTTGAGCAAAATCTTCATCAGTCTCACCTGAAATGACCCAAAAATGAGCATCATTCAATTAAAAACCATAAACTAAATCTTTAAACAGCTTACAAGAGTAAACGTTCTTATAAGATCCTCAAAATATTTGTGATGTGGTATTTCCTGCCTATAAGAGGTGTCCATGGGCCTGATTTGGGAGGGCTTTGTAGCCAAATTTCGGCCCTGGCCTTAAAGAGCTTTACCAAGCCCATAGACCTGGAATAGACCACCAGTGCATGGGTTGGCTGCCTACCCATGCTGCAAGCTCCAACCTCTTTCAGCTAAGATTTTAAGACCCTAACAAAGCTGAATTCATTATTTTATTAAATAGACAATGTATTTTCATTTAAATTTATTAAAACATCAACTATTAATATAAAACTACATGTACTGTTTTAATAATAAAACTTCATGTTCATGGGTGGGCCAAGACTAGCTCTCTAATGTTTGTGCCAAAATGAAGTATGGTCGATGGGCGGCAAACTCTAGCCTGAAGTTCTTATATTAAAATAAATTATTTTTTATTAATATTATCATTTTTATTTTAAAATTAAATCTAATTAAATAACATTATTTATTCAAGGAAATAATAACTTGTACTGGCTTGATTCTGGGCTTGGGCTAAAAATCCTTGCTCAGCCCTGCCCAAAGCAGGCCAGGCTTGCAGAACTGGGCAGCCACACAGGCCCAAAGACAAGGCAGTATCCTAAAGAATTTCCATTAGTAGAAAATTCCAATTAGTTCTGAAATGATGAGAGATACTAAGAGCCTATTTACTTTTGAAAATTATTTTATATTCTCCATCTCCATTTTTACTATAGATGCAGGCAATGAAATAAGGTAAAATACTCCAGTAGAAAACCCTTGCTTTTCTAATTTTCTAGAAAACAAGACACCTAATTTTAATTTATTTTATTGTTCAATCAATATTTAGTTATTTGCCTTATTTGATTGATCATAGTTAGAGTAAAACTGGACATAGAAAATGGAAAATATTTTCCAAAAGTAGAGGTGCCTATTGCCTAGACAAACTCAAATCTTGTTTGCAGAAGACATGAAAAGAATTTAGCATCACAAAAGGCCCTAAATAATCTTTTAGTTTTTCAGCATATATATATATATATATATAAATATATATAGCGAGAGAGAGAGAGAGAGAGAGAGAGAGAGAGAGACATACACACACACACACATGGATAGCATCAAGGAAGAAAGAGAAAAGGAGACAACAAAATAAGCATACTAACCAGGAAACCCACATATTATATCAGTTGCAACCTGCATGCCTGGCACAAGTTCAGTCAAGGTATCTACCACAGTCCTAAACTCGCTCACAGTATATTCCCGATTCATTTCCTGAAACAATCGAACAATATATAGTAAGACAATTATCATTCAGGAGAAATTTCAGGCATTTACCTACATTAAGTACAAATTTTATTGATTTATTTTAGTTAATAAATAACAACTTATTGTCATTAGCCAAAATTAAGCAACGGGAATGTGATCAATTTTAGACTTACGGTCAAGATAGCATCACTCCTGATTGAACTGGTACGTGAAGAAAGGAATATACACAAGGATGACGTAAAACATCTGCTATCTCTTTCAGGTGCTCCAAGATAAAAGGAGGATTGGTCATCCCAATTCGTAGCATTGTGCTCCCATCAGGAGGAAGTTCCACAACAATGGCATTCAACAAAATTGGTAGGTTAACCCCAATGTCACGACCTACAAAATTTTGTAACCTATAAGCACAATCTCCGTATATGTGTCCATATATATGTAAGCAACTGTTAATCCTTATGCACGTAAGTGTGTATTTAATGTTTTCCACTTTAGACACTGGGAGAACAGGACTCCTATATCTAAAGTTTCTTTGGCATCACGGGCAGCCAGGCATAATACTAAGATACCATATGCTCCAGTATCTTCACTGCTCAACCATATCTCCTTGACCCCATCAGCTATAACAGATTTCACACGCCCAACCTACATTGAGATGATGTTAATAAAATTGAACCAAACAGTAAAAAATGTAGTCATCCAGCTTCGTAACTTACAAGACTGTCAACAGTGTAGCTCCCTAAGTGACCACGAGCATGCTTTGTCTTGCAATAAGTGCAAGCACCTAAACAACCAACATTAATTGGAAGAATCTCGACAAACTTGTTCTTTCTGACCTGATATACAATAAATAACTTTGAGTTAAATTTATCTTAAGAATAAGAAAACCAATTATTAGCCATTAAACACTATTTGCATTCAGACACTGTCAAAGCTAAAGAACACAATGCTTATTTAATAAAATTGTATCTTATTTCAATTGCTTCTTTCACTATCACCTATTCTACTGAATTTTCTCTCCCCTTCTCTAGCAATCTCTCCCCAATAAGCAATTGCTGTAATTGTATTTTTCTAATAAATCAATCTACACATTTATCTATGTGTTTCATCTATGTAGGTAGGTGGTATTAGACTCTAGTCGGTAATTAAAGAAACATAACCAATACAAAAATTATAGGAAAGCAATTGGAACTACAATAATCCACATTTTATACCTTAGGAAGGTCCAGTGCAGGCAAGGTCTTGCGGTTCAAAAGCCGCACCTCATGCCCTTTCAGGGTCTCTTCTACAACTTCAACCACACGGTCAATTTGCTGGACTCCAACTATACTGACCCCTTCTAGCTCTTTCAGATCTCGACTTCCTTGAGGAACACACCCAGCAACCACCAATGGCTTATTTGCACTTTTACACCTTGTTATTAACGTGTTCATAGCTGACTGACTTGGAGATTTCACTGTGCATCTGCAAAACAGACCAAAAACACCATTTTAATTATTAAAAATACATAAGCATTGGTAACATAAAGAAAGTGTTTGAAGGAAATAAATGGGAAAAGTGTGTCAAAGAAGAAGTGTAAAGAAGTAAGTTTACACAACTGTTAAAAGAAAGAGAATATAGTGGAATGGAAAAAGATGTGAGATAGTTGTTTGAAGTTACCAGAATTTTTTTAAAAAATTATTTTAGTGTAAAATGCTCTAACAACTTTTAAATATTATAATACTATATTGTCTTAATATCGAATTTCAAGGTCATTTCTGGCATATTATGGAAAATTTTACTTAGTTTTGAAAACACCCATGAGGTTTCTTCAATAAATGGTGAAACTAAGATTATGTCAAATATTCAGAATTTATAAAACTTTAGTTAATGCAGACACACAGAGGCAACATGCAGCCTAAGTGGCAGGGACTTTGTTTTCTCCCCATCTACCCACCCCCCTGTTTTCTACTCCATTATTTTCCTTTTCTTTTTCTTTGTACATCTCACAATGGCTAGCTAGAGGAAGCAAAACTTCCTAATGCTAAGATACCAAATACACGAGTGCAAGATTCAGTTAAGTCTCCTCTAATACTAAACAGCTTTAGCAGCAGGCACAATGCGTATGAAACTGGAGATCCGTTAGACATTTTGGTCATTTGTAAGTTGGAGACCCAAGTAATTGTAACTTGGGTATTTATCTTGGTTGGGAACCTATTCGTGGCAAGGAAGGTCAACCAGCCATCTGTTAATGAAGAGTGTGTCCCTGATAGCCAAAGTTGTCCACTGACATTGTCTACCTAAATTGATGCATCAATTACTAATAGAGATAAACTAACCATACAAGATTTTCTTCTAACCAATATAAAAGGACAGCCATTCAGTGGCATATGCTTGTAATAAAGCAGGCTAAATGGGTGGAAAGTTGCTCATTAGAAGGAAAAAGATATAAGCATAAATGTCAAACATAGGAGAGATAAAATTCTAGGGATGCAGCAAAGAAACAGCGTACCTAACAAGGATTATTAAGAAGCACAAAAGCTTTAGACACCATCATATACATATTCACTTCGAAAATAAGTCTCCTAGGGTTCATTCAAACTGTTATATCCAAAGCATTCAAAAAATTTTCCCACCCTCCACCCATCCTTCATTTATTCTCTTTTCCATCTTGTGTGTGCTGTTACAATTGATTCCCACATCAACAGATTTGTATGCCCTTAATATAATTTAGTTAAATATCTGTCTTTGAAGATATATGCATTCTGCTGATAGTGAATTGGCTGTAACATGTAGCCACCTCTCCTTACAAATATTGGTGTGTTTTAGACACACAAGGATGTTACAATCTTGGCTGTAACATGTGGCCACATCTCCTTACAAATATTGGTGTGTTTTAGACACACAAGGATGTTACAATCTTGTCCAACATTTTTAAATCTTGCATGGACACTGACAAACGGTTTCAGCTTATTTTTGCCTAAACAACTTACATATCAGTTTGCTGTCACACAATTCTTGTGTGTATATATATATATATATATATATATAAATATATGCAAATGTTTATCATTTCCATAGTTCGTTCACTATATGCAGTACATCTAGGGCAAGGATACATAAACTCGATCCTTAAAAGATTTAAATCAAATGTCACATAGCCATGTCTTGTTGTTCTAAATTTTGAAAGTTGCACTCTCAATGCCATTTGTTTATGGGACAAACCACAAGACTCATGTTCATGCTAATTGATCAAATTTGTTTTGTCTGAGAGTGTTTCCTGGATGAAGAAAGAAATGCTAATTTGCAGCAACTTTCCTTTTCTCTTTCATTCTTTAAATTAATAGCATTTTTACTTCAGTATTTAGATTGCTACATATCCATCCAATTAATACATTGATTGATGTATGATGCAAAGGAGTATTTGCCCTTCTTGTTTTACATCAATGATGATTGCATGATTCTGACTTTTTTTTTTTAATAAATCCGATAAAGAAAAATTGCATTATATGATTGTTGCTGCAAGTAGTCTTAGATTATTATTGCACCAAAACGATCTGCACATATTAAAGATTTGAAGACAAATGAGTAGTTTTTACAAATCTCAGTCATTCCTTAGCCATTTAATGCCTCTGAGGAAAATAGACATATGAACACACTCCAAAATAAGCAATATAACTCAATGAATCATTACTTATCAGCAACCACATGCGGAATGAAACAGGTAGAGGATGAAATATATTGCAAATATCTATGCCTCAATTCATAACAAAAGGGAAGCAGATATCCTAGGATATGAAAAAGGTTCAAAAGCTTATACTGGATTAAATAGATGTTTCTCATTTGATAATGCCTACTATCTGTATGATGTCAGACTAGTTCAGGCACCAATCACAAGTGAAAGTACACAATAAGCTTTCTTTTTTAACTCTCCAAGAAACACATCTTCACAATAGATTGGATTATACTCTTTAAGAAAAAGCACTCAATTTAAACCAGAAAATTCTCCAAGACATCTATTTCTATAATTCTGATATTCCAATAATTTATAGTAAGATATCAAAAGCAACTGTTTTTATTATCTATAACAAATGGTGATCAGATTTTATCAGTCTTTCCCCCCACCACAAACGACCCAAGCAAGCTGAAGAATTTTTCAAAATTAAGATTTTAGATAAAATAAGGTCACATAATCCTGGATATGCTGAGAGTGACCATTGGAAACAATCCTAAACTCCAGCATTGTTAAATAAGGTGTCTCTGCTCTCAAGCCTTAAAAGCTTATCAGCCTTAGGGTTTCAATGTAGCATCATTGTTATTTTGGATACAGAGTGAAATATGCTCCCCCAAAAAAGAAATTATTTCGCTTACCATTAAAAGAGCCACTTATACATCTTTTCTTAATAAAAATACACGCACACACGCACACAAGCACACAAAATATCCGAACACTAGATTTGTAAGAATCTCTCTATTGATCTGAAAACGTTATGGAAATTCATAGTAAGAGTTAGAAAATTATAATGGATAACCCATAAAAGTTTGGATCTTGATACTGCTCATATCCTTGGGGTTTATGGAGAGATGTAAAATAAGTAATAATAATAATAAAAAAAGAAGTGAGATAAAAGGAGCAAGTTCAACTATTTAAATCATCAGTAGTTAACTGGGAATTTATTAGAAAGTTTTCAAAAGTTCAAAATTGTACCTGCATCAACATTGTTGATATATCCTCCAAATGTCATCAATTTGGGATATATCATAATATGATGAATTTATTATGCTTCAGTTAAAATATTATATTGACTTGTTTCATTTAATATAGGGATACAAGCGTTCAAATCCTTATGAAATTGAGGTCGTGAGAACCTGATATTTTGATGATTTCATAATTGTTAAAACCATGCTATATATGCACTTAGCACTGGTACTAAAAGAATATTAAGAGAATAAGGGTGAAGGCAATCTAGAGAAAGATAATATCAAATTAAATTAATTCAAGGGTGGAAGCCTTACGTATTTATTAGCCAAAGGTCTCCCTCCTCAGGATTGTCTGATATTGCATAGCCAAATGCTGAAAGTTGACCCACCATATATTCACTGTCACTCTGACAAGTGGTCCAAATATCAGAAAAACTAATCTCAAAAATCAAATTGAATATTACACTTAGAACCATGGATGAAAATGAATGAGAAGGATTGCATCCTTATTTTTGTTTCACAAATAAATGTTGAAGCTTGCATATAACATCAGGGTTTAAATTCATTAAATAACATGATATATCACAAAAAACTTTTGTTGGCTAAATAATAGGTTTTCTCCTCATCTTCAATGACTTTCAAGTTTGGACCTCCTCAACATGACAACATTAGTGACTTATATTCTACTGATTCCCTCAATGAAAATTCACACCCGAAACCAACCACAAAGTAATCTGAATCTCAAAGCAATCACATGAGAATTCAAAAGCTTCAAAATTAAAATGATAGCTAGAATGTAGTTCCAGCAATGATTAGTAAAACAAAAACCAAAAAATAAAAAATAAAAGCAATTTCATAAGACATAGGAGCTCAAGGCAGGGTTACAACTATTTTAAGTTTATTATCCATAAATTTCAATCAAATATTCTGAATAAGCATGTAAGACACAAACTCTTGACAAATAAAAGTACTTGAGGGAACAAAAAAAAAAGAAAGAGCTAGAACGAAGTTCATTGAGAACCTCAAAACTACCCATTGAGCTAATTATTAAACTAAAGAAAAAAAAAACTTGCCTGGTTATGTGAGCAGCCAAAAGTCTTGATATAAATAGTCTGCAACAAAGAATAAAAAATAATTTACTAATGCATAAATAAACATAATCATATTGGGAAGTAAAAAGGGACCTGAGTGCCAGGGAT